GCCCTGCAACATGTGGGATATTCCCGCAACAGGGATCAAAACTGTGTATTGGGCAGGGAAGCCCTCTGCAAACTCTTGACTGTGTGAAAATCCACAGAGTAAACAAACCAGTTACTTTAATAAATAAACTTCAAAGGGGGAAAAAAAAGGAAGAAGAAATCTAAAAATTAAGAGATTGAAGAGATATGACCAAAGGACATAGGAGGACTCTGTTTGCATCCCCATTAGAGCAAACTAGTCCTACAAAAACGTTTATGAAACATTCAGGGAAATTGAACATGGACTGATGACTTGATGATGTAAAGGAACGTTAGTATTTCTTGAGTTTAGTAATAGTATTTTGGATTTATATATGTGTGTGTACATATATATTTAGGTCTTTATGTTTTAGAGATAAACAGTAAAATATTTGGGGATAAAACTATGATCCTGGGATTTGATTTAAAACATCCAGTGGAGTGGTGATCATTTGGTAATGTATAGAAATATCAAATCACTGCGTTGTGTAATAGGAACTAACACAGTGTTATAGGTCAACTATGCTTCAAAACCCAAATAAACTTGTAGAAAAAGAGATCAGACTTGTGGTTATCAGAGGCAGGGGTAGGAGGAAAGAGGAACCAGAGGAAAGTGGTCAAAAGATACAAACTTCCAGTTATCAGATAAACTAGGTATTTGGAATATAACATTCAACATAATTAGTGTAATTAACACTGCTGTATATTCTGTATGAAAGTGAAGAGAGTAAATCCTAAGGGTTCTCATTGTAAGGAAAAATTTCTCTTCTTTTCCTTTTATATGAGATAATGGGTGTTCACTCATTGTGGCAATCATTTCATGATGTATGTAGGTCAAATATGATTGCTGTTCACCTTAAACTTAGACAGTGCTGTATTAGTTTATCAATCTCAATAAAACTAAAATAAATTGGGTCACAAAGGCAGGGTGCATGGTGGCTGAAAGAACAGTCATAATGAGACTGGCCGCGTATTTATAAGCTGGATGAAAGCTATAAGGGAGTTCCTTATACTAGTCTCTCTACTTTTGCATGCTTACAAGTTTCCAAAACTCAAAAGATTAGCCAAACCATTGCTTCTCTCCTAGTTCCAAAAGAGCCATAATTCTTCTGGCTTAAAACAGGATAGTCTTGGGATCTCCCTGGTGGTCCCATGGCTAAGACTCCACACTCTCAATGTAGGGGGTCTGGGTTCGATCCCTGATCAGGCAATTAGACCCTATATGCCACAACTTAAAAATCCTGCATGCTGCACTTAAGACCCAATGCAGCCAAATAAATTTATTTTTTAAAAGATGTAGAATTAAAATAAGCAAGGTAGTCTTCAGCCTTGATATTTGGTCTAGAAGCTTATTCTACCCAGACCTCTCCCCCAGGATTCACTTTCTGCAAGGAGATGGGATGAAGGTCCAGACTGGAGTCCAAATCAAGCCTTGACTTCTGATAGCTGGTAAGTTTCCAGAGAAGAGGGACAGAAGGTTCAGAGCCTTAGGAGAGGGTCTGTAATAAGAAACGTGCTTCATGCAGAACAGAACTAAGTTAGGGATGCTCCTTACCAGCAGGAAGATCCTGACAGTTAAGACCCTAAGAAGGCAACCACAGACCCCAAATGCATAGCTTTATTACTAATCCAAGAAAAGCAAATGAAAAGAATAATTCTGTCTTTGTACCATATTAGTATAACAAAAATCACAAAGCCCCCAGGTAGATGTGAGTGTGGAAAAAGCAGAGTTCTGATACAGTACAACCTGAGTGGAAACGGATACCACCCAGCAGCACGTGTCAAAATCTGACCCAGCAACTCCACGACCAGGGGTTTATTTCTAAGACAAGAATCTAAGATGTGCACGAAGCTTCACTGTCAAGGATAATACCAGAGAGGAAATTTACAGTGGGGAGAAACTGGAAGCAATTTAAATATCCAGTGTGGAGGTTTGAAAATACATCCACAAATACTTGGACTTCCCTGGTGGTCCAGTGGTAAAGAATCTGCCTGGTAATGCGGGGGACACAGGTTTGATCCACTGAGCTAGAACAACTTGGTGAAGTCACTCTTGAACTCCAGTTCCACAGGAGCTGTTAATATTTTTGGTTTGAACCAATTAAGTTTTGGTATAACGTGGCACTGTTAACCAAACTTTTAGAAACAAGAGACTGGACTGAAATAAAAAGGTGTGTCTTTGGGATTTGTTAGGACTGCAGCGTGGGAGACACAGATTCGAGCAGCACTTGAACTGCCTTCCATTGGCCCACAAAACGGGGGAGGCTTATAAAGGCAAAAACTGCAAGGTTAGTTACACAGGTTCTTTATCAGGAATTTTTAGTAATGTATTGGTTATACTGGAAAATACTATAAAGTACTTTTTTAATACCTGCAGCTCTACTAATAAAGAGGTAACCACACTTAACAAATTGTCATGTTTGCTGTCTCTTTTTTGTTTCATTCATGCTTTGTATTGATTTATATTTTGACCTCCAGCTTTATTTCGATCATGACCATTTCCCCATACTATTATATATGGTAAGTGTAATTTTTAATGACTATGTACCCCACTGTGTGGATGGGCCATAATTTAATGCATCCTCTATTGCTGGAATTATCTATTGGTATATAATGAAGACAAACTGAAATTATAATGGAGCAATCACAGTTCACGTGTGTGTACTAAGTCACTCAGTCATGCCTGACTCTTTGCGACGCTATGGACTGTAGTCTACCAGGCTTTTCTGTCCATGGGATTCTCCAAGCAAGAATACTGGCGTAGGTTGCCATGCCCTCCTCCAGGGGATCTTCCTGACTCAGGGATCGAACCCGTCTGTTACATCTCCTGCATTGGTAGGCAGGTTCTTTACCACTAGCGCCACCTGGGAAGCCCCACTCACAGTTCATGTGTGAAAGTCGCACAGTTGTGTCCGACTCTTTGTGACTCCATGGACTCTACAGTCCATGGAATTCTCCAGGCCAGAATACTGGAGTGGGTAGCCTTTCCCTTCTCCAGGGGATCTTCCCAACTCAGGGATCGAACCCAGGCCTCCCACATTGCAGGCGGATTCTTTACCACAAGGGAAGCCCAAGAATAACTAGAGTGGGTACCCACTCACAGTTCAGGCACACAGAAATGGAGTGGGTGACCACTGAGGATTTGGTCTCAGACACATCCCTGCAGCACTGAAAAACTTGAACTTTCTTTGAACTGCACCAGACCCAAGGACATTGCCAGCACCTCCTGCTATAACCTTATAATCTCAAGGTCTCCCCTTGTAAATATAAAACCATTCTGGATCCCAACCAATTCTAAACAAGCACTCTTACTTCTGTGCAGCTCCATTTATAATTCTTCATTTTTATCATAAGCACATTGGCTCCCTGGAACTCTCACCTTCTGATAAGATTTATCTAAAGCAGCTTTTATTTTTAAAAATTTAAAGATTTGATTTGTCTGATCAAATACATACTAGGTAAACTTCTTCCTGGTCAAAAAGTGCCAAGGGTGGTTTTTTAAGATAACTAGTCTTGTTTTTTTTCCTTTCTCATTTTGTATAGAGAAATGTGATGACTCTACCACTAACACAACAGTTGTAGAATGTAGACTGGCCATGGGTCACAGCCACTAACAGAGCAGAAAAATGCTCAAAACTATTTAAGCAGCAGCAAGAGTGAAAAACCACCTGATTCTGTGCTGAGCAGGAAGTTAAATGCCAATCAATTCTGACATGTTATATCAATGTTCTAATTCACAAATATATCTCACAAGGCTTACCAATACACTGTCTGGAAGTGCTCACTCACACTCTTTTCAAACTTCATATATCATGCCTGACTTTGTGACTAGCCTAGATACCTCATGTGAATGGAATCTACACTATTTACTTGCTTTCCCCTTTTGTGACTGGCTTACATAAACAAAATGCCCTCAAAGTTCACCCAAATTGTAGCAGGAGTCAGAATTTCCTTCCTGTTTAAGGCTGAATAATATTATGTTGTATGTATGAACTACCTTTTGTTGCTTTCACCTTTTGGTTATGGTGAATAATGAGGCTGTGAACACGGGTGTGCATGTGACCATACGACAATGGCTTTAGCAAAACTTCAAATAAAATGCTGCATAACTAAGTACCAAGTGGCAACTCAAGCTTCCCTTGTCCTTTCAGCCTGATGAATGAGATTTTATGCAAGAAATGGCAAAAGGGCATGTTCAGAGTCATGGAGATGGAAAAGGAAATAAATTTAAATTCAGGAACACCAGAGAATTCCCTGGTGGTCCAGTTGTTAGGGCTCTGCGCTTTCACTGCTGAAGATGCAGGTTCAATCCCAGGTCAGGGAAATAAGATCTTGCAAGCTACATGGCCAAAAAAAAAAAAAAAAAAAAAATTGGTGATATATATATATCACCAAAGGTGGCAGGTGATGGAAGTCAATGCTGACTATTCCAAATGAAGGTGGGATTTTGTCTAACATTCATCAGTTTTCTTCATAATCTGGTTTCATTTCCTGTAATTGTTTTCGGTGCTTTAGATTCATGCTGTTTCATAAAAAGACCTAATCTGACCCCACCTTTCATATGAGGAAATGACACACACGGAGGCTTATAATGACACATCTCAAATTCCTACTGTTAAGAGGCAGGGGTAGAACCATAACCCACACCCAGGGTTTTCGCCACTGACAGACACCCAGCAGAACTTTACTCATCACCCATTCTCAGCCTTTGCGTGAGACTAGGGAAAAGAAGGGTGTGATTACTTTTGTAAAGCCCCCAAAGCCCTCTGTGTTCATGCAGTGCTTGTGTTTCCAAAGTACTTTCATAAGCACCGTCTTCAGGAGCTGTTACCAAGCGTCTCCTCTGCCACGCGTCTCACTAGAAGCAGCGCACCGCTATTCTAGTTCTGACAGTTTCTCTTGTGTTGTTTGCTAATAAAAAAGTCTGTGATGTTTAAATAGCCCCAAGTCCCGACCGAAAGTAAGCACAACTAAACAGATACACTATGAATGCAGGAACACTATATTTATTAAGTCAATAATTCATTTTTAGCAATACAAGTACAGAATATATCACAATGCTGGTTACAAACATACTTAGTATGGTTTAATGGTTACAAATAATGGTGGGTACTACAAGTTTGTGATAAGGGTGATATGAAAGGTCATTCTGACACAATGAAGAATTGTCTTTAAAAAAATCTGTCAATGACCTTAGATATTTCTATAGAAATTACTGTGGCACTATTAGTGGGGATTTTCATGTAAAGAATTGATAGTGATTTGCTTTTGTTTCAGTAAGAGCTTTTTGAGTCTATTAAACTAAAATCCCCGGTTGCTTAATAAAGTATAAAAATAGTACTGACCTGGTAATATTTAATAAAACATAGCATTCATTCACATCATAAAAGTAGAACTAAAGTGAAAAGTTTTTAGTTACCATGGCAACAGATCTTCCCATAAAAGTAATCTACAGAAATGAGTAATGTTACACAAATGGTACCTGCAAAGTTATTTAGTGATCCAACACTTGTGCACCACAAACCAAGTTTTCTAGATATCTATATATAGCATATATTTTTAATCTTAAATTTTACTTTAAAAAAAATGTGCACTTCAACAAACTCACTAAGGCCACTCATGCTATAGATGCCTAGGATTGCAATTAAAGAACAGCATTATTTTAACAAATCCTCAAGCACACTCCTTCAGGTCACCAACAGGGTAAAACCAGTTTTCTGCCTAAAACATTCCTGAGATTTGTGGACAACTACTAATGTTCAAGCTGGAGATGAATTAAAATGTCAGATTAAAAAAAAAAAAAAGGAATTTTCTAGCAAGAACTGAGGTCCTCCAAGAGGTGAAATATATATGCTAATTCTTAGAGCAAAAATAAAAGTCTTAAGAGACGCTTTTACTTATAAATATTTTTCCAGTAGTAACTTTGCCATCCAGAAAAAGAACAGTTTGGAAGTAGCCAGGCTACAGATTCAGGGGAAAAAAAAGGTAGAGTGACAGTTTAATACAGGTATCCTCCTCTTTCTGAAAGTTCACTTTATGCTAGTTTGCTTTTATCAAAGACCTGCAATAGCGCCTGTTTTTACCAATCGAAAACAGATCCAAAAAGGAGCGTCACTTTCACGAAAAGAGGTGAAAAGCAAAACTGGCATTCAGCGTCTGTCTGCACACAGCTGTTAGGAGGCAGAGCCAAAAAGCAGCAGGAGTGGAACCGCCACGCTCCTCTCCTGGAACGACACTTGGCATCGCAGCTTGAAGCCGCCACAGCTTTACCTGTGCGGGCTTCTGTGCTTTATCTCCATTTATTTTGCGCATCTATTAGCCCTAGGCTAATTGCCACCCTGCTGTTCACCTGTTTTGGCTGAAAGAGGTTTCATGGGGACACTCCTTTTGGACAGCGGGGAAAGACTGCTGTCCCTGCTGCTACTTAGCAAACCATTCTTTCCATCTGTAAAGTACGGTCCAAAGTTCCACTCATGTTCTAGGCATGTGTTTGCCATTGAGCATTCTGTCTGCGCTGTCAGGAGCAGCCAAATGGCACGCTATTTATAAGATTGCAGCTGCTTGATCTAGTTTTCTCAAAATTATGACCTTTTCTCTAACAGGCTAAGAGTGTTGCAAAGGCCTTTGTCCAATCTTTCATTTTCACCAAACAAGGCACACCTGCACGGGGGCTATTCCAAAGCAATACCAGCTGTCCGTGCTGGAAAGAGACAGCTCTGGTAACGGTAAGGGTCCGAATGCTTTGAGCAGTCAGCTTTGGCGACCCATAAAAATTATGGTCTCAAAAACCCCCAACTGGCTCTCTGAAACGGAACAAAGGAGTGACTGACCACCTGTGTGGCACAGGAGTGTTACGGCTCCCTGATGCACCCAACTTGAGTAGCACCAAACTTCAGGAAAAAAAAACCGAGTACAAGAGAGAACAAGGTCAGGAAAGGAGGAGACCAAAGGCCTCTTATTTAAAATTACTTTGTTGAACTGCCAGAAAAGTCTTTTAAGCTGGTCTATGCTTTCTTATACATAACCCTGCCATATACGAAAAATTTGTTCAAGCAATTGGTTATTGTGAAGTAAATTTTACTGAGACTTTTTCCCCCTACCCCCATAAATCATGATGATATTCACCTCCCTAACTTATCCTAAACATTCCAACTAAAAGGATAAAACCCACACTTAAAATTATTAGGGTATTATTCTTCATTAGAACCAGAAATAATAGCATATTAAGTTATATCGCTATCAGAAACTGGCAATCTCTTTTCTCAATCTAGTGTGTCTGCATTAAGTATATGGATTTACAGAAAACTACATTAAAACAGTGGCAATAGGGCAAACTATCAGCAATGATTTTTTTTTTAAAAGAAAAACTGGCTGCCATTTAACATTATCACCCTGTGATCCTAGGCTTCTAAATATCATGTTGCTTTATCACTGAGTGTTATCTGAGTTCAAACTGAATTAGAGAAGATGAGGCCTTAAGTCATTTGCTGGATTTTATCCTAGGAAATGCTGTATATGCACAAAACCAAAAATACAGGTTTAAAAAAAAAAAACTTCATATGAAAACATAAGTTTCAAAATATTTATTGAAAAACAATTTACCATGACATTCCTATACCACAAACATACCACAGGACTCTAAATAACCAACAAAAGTGTACAAAGCCTATCCTTAAAAATCTTTGGAGGTATTAAATATATAGGCCCATGAGGATAGAGCTGAGTAACTTAAAAATGTTAGTCCTTGGTCACACAGACTGTTTGGTAATTAATAAAGAGGTGCCTCCTGGCATTAGATTGCAATTAACTGGGAGGGGGGGTGCAGGTGTGCCAATGTGCTCTTTTCAATTAAAAATAATTCAGTATAAGGATTACACCCAGGTTTTGAAATCACACAGCTTATCATCTTAAAGATATCTGGGCTTGTTTCATTTCTTCTACCTTCCCTAGGGAATCCCCTCCTGGGGACTTAAAAACAGTGGGATCATAACTAACAAGATGGCAAATAACAGCCTTAAACAAGGTTATATTTGGGAAGGTCAAAAAAGTGTTTAAAATCGAACTGATCTGAAATTTCCAATTACTTTTTCTGCACTCCAAGTGGTGGACAGTTTACATTTTTCCCCCTCCCATCCCAACAGACCTGTTAAAAGAAAACCCAAATTTAGCACACATCCACTCACCCACAGACCACTCCAAGCATTAGCCAGGAGCAACAACTCTTAACAGCCAAGTCATGAACCCCTGAAAATAGGGGGGAAAACCCTGATTCTTAACTATAGAGGCACCAAACAGGCCACTATAATAAGAACTGAGGTAACGGCAACAGACCTTTTTTGTTTCTTAAATTGCTACATGTTACAACTTCTCAAATTTGAATATTACCTCAACATTAAATAACTTGACTGGCTTAAATGAAAAATCAAAACCCAATAAACAGAAAGATGAGTTAGTGAAATAGATATATCATTAGGGGAAATCTTTACATTTGACTCTTGAATTTCATATAAAATGATCTACTGTTTGCAATATTGTTTTTATCATAAACATGAAGGATTTCTTAAGAATTGCTTATTTGGCGGCATTTGTTTTTCCATTAATCCCCATAAACCAAACATTAACCTAAAATTCCCATCTGGACATGAGCTATTTCATGACTCAGCCAATATACTCACAAACTGCGTTATTAGGGTAGCATTTAAAACGAGAGGGGTGGCTGCAGCAGGTATTTATAGACTTGTTTAGGGCATTGCCATCTGGGTACCTTGACTAAAGATATGCCACTGAAATTGCCAAATTTCCCTAATTTGGTGACTATTACATGAATACAATTTTGTATTATCAGTTTTCATAATACATCTAAATGAAAATCATTCTACGATAAAAGGAAAAGCAGGGGCTAAAATAATCATCTAAAACCTCTGGTCCAAATAACCCCTTTCTACATTAGGCTGGTCCTTTTCAGATCCTCCTGGTCCTGTTAGCAAAAGCTATCAGAGCATCTTGCCTTTTTATACCCCCAAAAAACACAACAAAACCAAAAAACCAAAGAATTAAAATTGCTGGTTTATCAGCTTTTCTATTACTTACAGGTCAACACTGGTCCAGTTCAGATGGATCTGACAGTCCTCCCCCTTGTCATACAGCCCTGGAGTGGCTGTGTCCACTTTTCTAGGTAAGGAAGCCAAACCTAAGTCAGGATGTCCTCTGCTATTAGCACTTGTGTTAACTTTTCTATACTGTGTATAAAGATTTTCCCCATAAAATTTCTTTACAGTACAGTATTGAATACCTCCTCAAGGAAGAATTATATGTTAAAAAGTTGTTAAAATCATCCTTACATAATAAGAATGCAACTCTTTTAAACTCTTAAATAGTTTTATTTAGGGGTTCTTTTTTTCTTTCAGGCTTTCTGCAAAATGAATTACTTTTTTTTAAAAAACAAAAACAAAAAAATTCCTGTTGTTTGTTCTACGAGGTTGAAAATATGGGCCAGACTACTTATACATGCGGTACATGCTGAATATAACTGAATATATGCTTATTCCTACGGACACTCTGCAAGAAAGGGATCACCCAAATAGGGTCAAAGGACTGGACCAGTGTTTCAATGCAAATTCCAGCCCCAAAAAACAACATGGTTTTGATTTCACAGTATGAATTCCCTGGAATCTGGGAAAAGGTAAGTTAGTTAACTGAGGTCCTCCCTCAGCAGCTGGGTCCCTCGACATTCTGAGCAATCAGGAAGGACTGCACCACTTCTTCAGTGGACTGGGGGCTGGTGTTGACGTCTTCAAGAGCATCGGTCACGGAATACTGCCGATCTCGTAACCGGTTCCAGTTAGATAGAACATTGTGATACTCAAACACTTTCTCATAATTTCCAATGGAGTTGTAAAGTTTAATGAGACCTCGGTAATCATATTCCAGTCCACTGTAGCCTTCACCGAAAAGTTTCTTCCCTGAAAGTAAACAGAAAAAGAAAGGAAGCTCAAATAATGAAATAAAGTAGTTTCTACAACACAAGCTTAGTTCTTTAAAATAGGGCGTCTTTGTTTTATTCCTTTTCAAAGGAATAGATTCAATTAAAATTTTTTATTGGAATACAGTTGCTTTACAATATTGTGTTAGTTTCTTGCTACATAGCACAGGGAATCGTCACACATACATATGTACATGTGTCCCACCCTTCGTTAGATTCCCTCCCCACTGAGGTCACCACAGAACGTCGAGGAGAGCTCCCCGTGGTGGTCAGTGGGTCCTCACTGGTTATCTGTTTTACACTCAGAAGTGTGCTGATGTCAGTCCCAGACTCCCAATCATCCCACCCTCCAGCCGGAACACAGTCAATTCTTCTATCAGTGTTTACTGACACAGTCTTACCCACAGACTACTTCTAAGACTTAAAAAAAAAATTCTCTTGTCTAAGGTCACTGGTCTCTGTAGAATAAAATTGTAGAAGTTCATAGTCTGAAGAGAGTTCATAAAGAGGTCACAGCTCATTTACAGGGCATACTGTTTTCAAAAAAGCAAAGTACGTGGAGTATGCCACCTTTTATGTAAAATAAAATATTTATGTCTGTGAACGTTTATGCCAAAAGATATACAGAGGAATGATGCTGGTGGTCCAGTGGTTAAGATTCCACCTGCCAATGCAGGGAACACAGGTTCGCTCTCTGGTCTGGGAGGACCCCACATGCCTTGGGGCAACTAAGCCAGTGAGCCCCCACCACCCCACGGAGTCCAAGCTCTAGAGCTGAGAGGCACAACTACCGAGCCCACGGGCCACAACTACTGAAGCCTGCACGCCGAGCCCACGCTCAGCGACGAGGAGCCCGTGCACAGCAGCAAGGCCCAGCACGGCCAGAAATAAAAAACAAAAACAAAAACCACAGGAAAAATAGATGAGAAAATGACAAGGCCTGTTACTCATGGCAATGAGTGGCGAGGAGAAATTAAGGGCAGCCACACACCTGTGAGAAGACCTTTCTATATAGTTGACCTTCTTTTTTTGGTCATGTCATGTGGCTTGTGGGATCTTAGTTCCCTAACCAGAGATTGAACCCAGGCCCTCAGCAGTGACAGTGAGGAGTTTTAACCACTGGACTGCCAGGGAACTCCACAGTTCTGACTTTCTAGAGTATTAATATTTCACAGTCAAATAATCTAGCAGACTAAATAAAAACAGGGGAATGTTATACAAACATAAACAAATTAACCTAGTTCTCTCGTAAATGAGTAACTCGCTGATAGCAGGTGGCAGGGAGATAAGCAACCTATACATTTTGAACACAGTATTCTGATTATATACCTTCAGGTTAAGGACAAGGTCAACTGTAAATGAACATTAAGCTCTAAGCAGTAACTTTGGTTTTCATAGTACTATGGGTTAGCAATTCTAAAACTACTTTATGTATATTGTAGGGTTAAGCAAGATAATCTATTATGGATAATGAGGAATCTCCACATAGACGGATATATGGCAAGGCAGCAAAGCAGAGGGGAAAGACAGTGTTTTGAAAAATGGTCCTGGTCAACTGATATCCATACAGAAGGGAAAAAGGAAGAGGGGAACAAATTTGATTGCTACCTCACAAATTTCCAGAAGATACTCTTCCTAAAGAGTATCTTCTGACTTTGGGGTAGAAAAAGATTTCCAAAACACAATTTAAAAAGTGTCAACCAAAAAAAAAAAAAAAGTGTCAACCATAAAATAAAAAAGCAATATTTGATTATATTAAACTTTAAGAATTTCTGTTCTTTGAAAGGCACCATTAAGAAACAAGCAGTAGAAGGACAGTTATCTGCAACACATTTAACTAACAAAGGGCTTATTACATCTAAAGTATATACAGAACTTCCATAAACCAAGAAGAAAGTGACAGACAAATTCAATAAAAACATGGGAAGAGTTTTAACAGGCACAACATTAGATGATGACCACAGTATCTTATTTTGTGATAGGTCTGAACAGAAAACAATTCAAATGTTCTGAATATCAACTAACAGTCAAATGGATAAATAATGACATACTAATTCAATACAATATTACATGGCACTGGAAATTAACAAGCAACAGGGAAATGAACAACACTGATGTATTTAACAATTGATGTTCACCAAAAGAAACAAAGCATATAAAAATATACATTGTATGATTTCATTTATATCAAGTTCTAAAACAGGTAAACTTGGTCTATGTTAAAATCAGGAGAAGGGTGAGGATGGGCTAGAGGTAGTGTTTACACAAATATTTAAAAATAATTATTTTTGCCTTTACTTGACACATGACTGTCGTATTTCTTATTACTGGCTGCAATTATCAATAAATAATCTTTAGCAAAATGTTTTAGAAGACTTCTGAGTGGCTCCTAGAGATCCTGAGCAGCTCTAAACCCATTTAAGTCTTAATAACAAAACTTCCCTATACAACATATAAGACATGTTGATCTCATCAATTAAAACAATTTTAAAATAACATACCAATTGCTATAGATCGCAAATAAAGTTTCTCGGCATTTTCATACTGATTCATGTCATAATTATATAAAGAAGCCAGATGTCCCACTGAAAGGGCTACTTCATAATCTTCTTGACCAAGAAGTTGTTCTTTAATCTGAATTGCTTTGATGTGCATTTCTTCAGCTTCCTGAAAAATAATCAACCTGTATTAACCATTAGGTTATACTTTTTACTATGTCAACAACTCTTATCCAATTAGTAACATTCTTCTAGATGTCAAAAACAGCTTATGGATGGCATAAGGTAATCTGGTCAGAGAAGACACTACACAATTCCAAAAGCTGCCTACGGGAAGCATCACTGGCTTGGGGAAGCTATCTATGCACATAAGCTGACGAAACACTGAAATACACCAAAATGACAAGAGAAAACGTGTCCTTGTAATAAAAAGCTGTTAGAAGAAATTAACGTCAAAATATTCTAAAACGAAAACTTCTTTCAATTTAACACACTCCAAAATTTAATTGAACTGTGTTAAGAAATTCTATACTATATTATTTTACACAGAAGTATACTTTACTATTTCATTTTTTTTTGAGTTTTGACAATTTTTATCGCAATAAACAGGTTAACTGAGGAATGTGTAAACTGATTTTCAGATAAAAATGAATGTCTTAGATAGCAACTCTCATTCCTTTCTTACTGTGACCCTATAATGAGCAATAATAAGAATTTATAACCCAAAATTCTAAAAGGGAACTAAATTCAGTACATTTTTAACACTACAATTATAGAATACTTGCATTATCTTACATTTCTTGCACACCTAACTATGTGTCAGGCATTCAGCTAAGTGTTCAATTTAAACTATTAGCTTAAAGCTATGTTTTAAGTCTGATATATATATTTTTCTATGGTCTGTATTTTTGAATTTTATTTATATTTTGACTGTTGTTTTATACTAGCTATTTTCTCAATTCTTATGTGAAATAATGTGGAAGTATAATAAATGTATACTTTATAATTTGAGATTACTGAAGAAGCATTACTTAAGATTTATTATTCACACTGTACTTTATTACCTAAGATTACATAGACAGAAAAATGCAGTAAAATGTGCTTCTACCTTAAATTTCCTCATTGACTGATAAAGTCTTCCAAGGTTTCCATAGTGTTTTGCAGTCTGTACATTAAATTCTCCAAAAGCTTTTTTAGCTAGTTGGAGTGAAGACAGATGCAAATCATGAGCTTCTTGAAGCAGCCTCTGTTCAGTTTCTTTATTATGACAGTCAATAGCAATCTCCTCTAAAATAAGTGCTAAATAAGAAGGCAATAAAATCAGTGCACTTTCAAACCATGTATCAAAGCTCATCAGAACATACACTTTAGAATTAAATTTTATAAATGTTACTTGTATATACTTATATATGTTTATATCTGTTTATTCTAAACAGAACCATAAACCATTTAACATACCAAAGAGCTGGTAAAGATGAGCATATTCCATACCTTAAATTTCCTCATTGACTGATAAAGTCTTCCAAGGTTTCCATAGTGTTTTGCAGTCTGTACATTAAATTCTCCAAAAGCTTTTTTAGCTAGTTGAAGTGAAGACAGATGCAAATCATGAGCTTCTTGAAGCAGCCTCTGTTCAGTTTCTTTATTATGACAGTCAATAGCAATCTCCTCTAAAATAAGTGCTAAATAAGAAGGCAATAAAATCAGTGCACTTTCAAACCATGTATCAAAGCTCATCAGAACATACACTTTAGAATTAAATTTTATAAATGTTACTTGTATATACTTATATATGTTTATATCTGTTTATTCTAAACAGAACCATAAACCATTTAACATACCAAAGAGCTGGTAAAGATGAGCATATTCCGTTTTAATGGAAAAAAAAAAACACTTTTGGGGTCATTCTATTTTGCATAGTATAATGGTTTTCAAATGTAAGAAAAACAACAGTATACAACTAATTATTTTGTAGATTTACTCTTTTCCCAGATCAGTTTGCTTTGCTGACGTGAAACTGTTTTTTAAGCAAACAGAAGACAGATAAGAATAAAGATACAAATTTTTTAAAGTTGTGAAAGTGTGTCAAGGACTACCTAACCACTCCTGAAAACTGTGAAGCCATATTCTGCAAACTATATAACCTTTAACCAAGCAGAAGTAAAAGAACGGGTTTCCTCCTAACTCACTTGACCAGTCAAATCAGGTAATAAGATAATTTAACTTCAAAGTCCTATTTGAGACCCTCAAACTCCATTTAAAGTCTTACAAATACAAATTCTTTAACCAGGCAATTTTACTGCTAGGAAAACTGCCCATGTGCACAAAACTAAGAGATTTAGTTCACTGTAGCATTTTTAAAGAACAAAAGGTTAAAAAACTTTAGAGGTCCAATAAGACAGGTGCAGTTAAAAACATTAGAAAAAAAGGATATATACCTACATGTATTGAAATGAGAAAATATTTGTACTATATTGAGTGAACAAAGCAGATTACAGAACTAAAAAAAACATTATTCACTCATCTCAGTCTTCGAAGAAAGAAAAGTAAGAAAAAAATATTTGCCCACATGTTGATTCTGGATTGATGAGATTTCAAGCTAACTCAATTTTTCTCTTTTAATTCTTGGTATTAATCATGTATCACTTGCATGGCTTCAAAAGTGCACACCTGGGGGGTGGTAAAGCCCAGTCCCAGAAAGAAGGTGGAAGTTACTCATCATGCAAGGAGCTGCCACATGGGTGACCCGATGTCCGCAAAACCAAAAGCCCCTGGTAGGGACGGCAGCAGAGTTAAAAAGTAAGGAAGAGAGTGCTATGTGGTAAGAGCCTTGCAACATTAAAGGTAACCTGATATGAAACTGAGTTTCAGAATCTTGCACAATAAAGGTGAAGGTATGTGAAAACCCATCTTCAGTGTCACTGTGATTCTTCAATCCTCCCCTCAAAAGAAAGGAATGAATGAATGAAAGGAAAGAGAAAGGAAGGAAGGAAGGAAGGTATTCTAGCCTATTAACTGTTGTATGAGAGAAGGAAACTTCATTACGAGCCACTGGAAATTCTGAGAGATGTGGGCAAATATGTCACATCAGTGACTGGCTGTTTCAGTAATATACAGTCTAATTCTGAGGAAATAAACAAATATTCCTATTTTATACCACATACCATCAATTTAAAAATGTCAGAGAGTAGATATCTATTATAACTGACAGCTAAAGAAATCTTAAAATACATCTATTTATCTATCTATAGGAGACTAGATTACAAAGGGTACCTTTCACCCTCTTTGAAGAAGCCAAAAGAAGATGATCTTCAGGTAGGATGTGGGTAATGATACCAATAGCTCTTTCTGCATGAAACCTGCAATACACAAGATAAATTCTGGCATCTCTTTTATGTTACAAATAATTTAGGCATTAAAAAAACCCATAATTTATAACATAATACTGGTAGAATTTCTAAAACTAGCTGTGGTAAAGGACTAGTTTTTTGCTTTAACATTCCAATCTTTTGTACACTGAGTTTCTTTCCCCCCTTAATTTATTTTTATTTGAAGGATAATTAAATGAATGTTTAAACATCCAGTGGATTCCCATCTATCTCCCTCATAACCAACTGTGAAATTACTATCACGGCCTACAAGGCTTAATGCAATATGATCTTTCACTGGGCTACCTCTCTGACCACATCTTCTACCATTCTCAGAAATAATTCCCTCTTTCCCTTCTAGCCACATAGGAACTGCAGTTTTCTGAACATGCAAAGCACGTTCTAGCCCAGGATTCTTGCATTTGTTTTACTGTCTCTCTGGAATGGTTGTTCCCTGAATATCCACATGCTTTACCCTCACTGAAGTCTCTCCAGACCAGCCTAAACAGAAGACCCTAAAAAAATCTACCATCACCCTAAACTCTTAGCTTATTTTATTCTTCTTCACAGCATGTATTCTCATCTGACATGTTTGGTTATTGTTTCATGGCTCATCTTGTCAAACAGAAGGCAAGTTATTTGTCTATTTTATCTGCCAGCTCCTTTCAAACAACTCCATGCCTTCTATTCCCATCTTTCTTGGACTACAAGGAGATCAAACCAGTCAATCCTCAAAGACATCAGTCCTGAATATTCATTGGCAGGACTGATGCTGAAGATGAAACTCCAATACTTTAGCCACCTGATGTGGAGAACTGACTCACTGGAAAAGACCCTGATGCTGGGAAAGATTGAAGGCAGGAGAAGAAGGGGATGACAGAGGATAAGATGGTTGGATGACATCACCGACTCGATGGACATGAGTCTGAGTAAACTCCAGGAGTTGTTAATGGACAGGGAGGCCTGGCATGCTATACAGTCCATGGGGTCACAAAGAGTCGGACACAACTGAGCGACTGAACTGAACTGAAGCAATCATCAATTTTCTTAGATCTATCTTCCAATTTGCTGTCTCTTTAGTTGTATCTAATCTGCTATTTAACTTGTCTACTGAGTTTTAATATCAATGACTACTTCCCAATTCTAGCTATCATAATTTGTTTTCATAATCAGTGTTTATTACCATAATTCATACCACCAACATTTAAAGTGTACAATAGAAGGTTTCTGGCTATTTCAGAGTTATGCACCTATCACTATTAATTTCAGAATATTTTCACCCCCCCAAAAGAAACCTTGTGCACATCAGCAGTCGCTTCATTTTCTTCCAACTGTCCCAACTCTAGGCAACCACCAATTTACCTTCTGTTTCTACCTAGTCTGGACATTTCACACAAATGAAATTATGTAATATGTGGTCCTCTGTGGACGGCTTCTTTCACTTAGCACAGTGTTTTAAAGATTCATTCAAGCCGCAGCATATATCAGTTATTTTACGTTATTGTTTATTTTTGGCTACTCTGTGTGGCAGGTAGGATATTAGTTCCCCAACCAGAAATAGAACGCATGCTCCCTTTGGTGCAAGTGTAGGGTCTTAACCACTGAACCACCGGGGAAGTCCCATTTATTTTTATTATTGAAGTATAGTTGATTTACCATGTTGTGTAAGCTTTAGGTGTACCGCAAAGTGACTCAGATATACATACAGTTTCCTCAGTTTTTTTCTTTTAATATCTGCCTTTTTTCCTTAACCTTCCCTCTAAAACATTATTGATTCCTTCTTTTATATCAGTGTCAGCAAGTTTTTTTTCCTGTACAGGGTCATATAGTAAACATCTCAAGACTGTGTGGTACACACTCTGTCCCAACTATTCAAGTCTACTGCTGAAGCAGAGAAGCAACCACAGCCAAACATGAGTGCATGAGCACTACCATGTTCCAACAAACCTTTATTTTGCCTTCAGGTCATAGTCTGCCAACCCATTTATAACTTTAGTCATCTAAGAATTCTTACTTTATAGCATCAACCAAAACCTTCTGTTAGCTGGTATTTCTAGTGTGCTCATCTTGTTCACGTCTTCTGACTCACTCAAACAGAAAACGTTCCCTTATTTAAAAACATTTTTTATGGTGAATTCATCTTAGGTAGAGTTAGGTCTATGGGAAGTCTGTATGGCTTGGACGGAAGGTTAATTATTACCAAGAGCTTTGTATTTTCTCCTTAAAAGCATCCTAGGAAAAAGCAGCAGTCCCAAAGTACTTCTTAATGTTTTCCTCGGTTTGGGGTTTCCTGTATGCATGATGCCCAAATACAAGGGAGAAGTCTATAGCCTATAAATTCCCCTATGAGGCTAGTTTTGTTCAACTGAGAGCTCAGCCTAAGATGGACAAACTTGCATGTCACCTCTCTTGCCAGTGGGCAGTTTTCTCCCTGGCCCACCCTCTTTCCCTGAGGGTGTAGCTTTGATCTTGCCTTCAGTTTTAAGTCACAGCCTCCTGTGGGCTAAATGCCTTCTCTCTTAAAACGAGGACTGGTATTCAACCAAGGTTACAGAAACTTCTAAGGCCTTCTAAGCCTTCCCACCCCAGAACACTTACACCATAGTTCATGCCTACCCTTTTTGGGTTTTAGTCCATTATTGGCCCTTGAGGATTTCCTCTTTCTCTAACAAGCTCAGTTATGCATTAAAAAGAAGATGACTGTCAATATTATTCAGTATTTCTGCATGTTATGAGCAAGTTTGTATACTACTGTATTAGTCAAGGAAAAATTACTGAAGGAGATACTTAAAGACATTCTATATGATGATATAAAGGTCTCAATGTGAAACCACATAAGATCTAAATGAACGGCTTATAAATTGGGATGATTTTAAATGACTTCAAGAACATTTTAGGGATCATGTTGAAGTTCCAGGAGGACAACTTTAATCCATTCATTTATACATTAAATAGTACTGTGTTAGGGAAAAAGCAAAACAAAACGCAAGAGCAGTAGCATTTAACTCCTCATGAAAAGGAAAGTAGAACTCACAGCGCGTTGTCAAATTTCCCAGAGCTGTACTGGTGAACGTAAGACGAATACGCCAAGTCTTCATGAGCTGTTGCTACGTGAATATTTTTGCCACCGAACACTGACTGCCGAATGTCAAGGGCTGCCTGAAAGAGTCAAGAAAACAACTGATAATACTGTGAATCCTTAGAAAACACTACCTAGTTAAATTAAGCATTCTAGTGACTTAAATATATTTTTATNAAGTCTTCATGAGCTGTTGCTACGTGAATATTTTTGCCACCGAACACTGACTGCCGAATGTCAAGGGCTGCCTGAAAGAGTCAAGAAAACAACTGATAATACTGTGAATCCTTAGAAAACACTACCTAGTTAAATTAAGCATTCTAGTGACTTAAATATATTTTTATATACTCAACCCCATCAGTTCTTGAAAAAAGTTCTGCTGTATTTAGATCACGTGTGTGGTTAGTGGCTTCAGTCGTGTCTGACTCTCTGCGACCCCATGGACGGTGGCCTGCTAGGCTTCCCTGTCCATGGGATTCTCCAGGCAAGAATACTGGAGTGGGCTGACATTTCCTTTTCCAAATTTAGATCACAACAGAACATAAAAGTCCCCATGGCTTGATTTTCTAAAGAGTAAGTCTGAATTAAAAGGCAATGGCTTAATAATAAAAGTCATTCACATGTCTTAGGAATTACATTAGTGTTTTTTCTCCATATCATCTTAAGAAATAAACTATAAAATCAGGGATACCTTGCCCAGAGTGATGGCATAACAAATCATGTACCTAAGATTGACTAAGGCCTAAAATAACTGTTATCTACCCTCCTTGCTACTACAAAGGCAGCTATAATGATTCATGCTAAAGTAACAACAAAGATATCTGGGTAAATGAAAAAATTGAAAACTACTCTTAAATACTGACCCACAACTCCATACTTTTTCCCTAGATAAGTCTCTTTAATTCCTAAAACAGTAAGTTTTAAGAAGTTTTACTTCTTTAATTCCTAAAGAAGTTAAGTTTTACTTCTGTTATTATTTAGTAAAATAATGGTGTGCCATAATGAGGAAGGGCTCTAAAAGAGTTATTTTGAGAGTAGTTTATATACCATAAACAAACTATACGTCAGCAAGTCAATTTAGGTTGAAAGAAACAGTGTAACTATTAACATACCTGATAAATTGCAACAGACTGACAGATATTATCTACATTGAGTAAGTAGAACCCATAATCTAGCAGTGTATCAGAATATTTTGGGTGTTTGGATCCAAAATGATCCCTATAAAAAGATACAAAACTATTAGGATATAAAGTAGAGAGAGACAATTTTAAATGCTATTTTTAATAACAATCACCTACCGTGCCAAATACACTGCATGTTTAATTAACTGCTCTGCTTTCTTAAATTCACGTTTTACAACACAAGCCTAAAGATGAAATGAAATGAAAAATTGTTAAATAACTCACAGTTAATGAATGTGTTAAAACAAATATGATTTATATAATCAAACTATAATGGTTGAAAAGAAAAAAACATCTTCAAACATAAATAGAATGCATCTATTTGTAATTTCTTTCCTTCCAAGTATTTGAAAATTCCATTATAAACAGATGTGTACATATCCTGGTAATAATAAAATTTAAAAATTTCAGTCATGCCCAGAACTAAATTGTTATAACAAAATTATCTTTAAAAGCTCATATATTCCCATTCTTACATGTTATTAAAATAGTTGGGGGGGGTTGCTTGTATATTTTTGAGATCAATTCTTTGTCAGTTGCTTCATTTGCTGTTATTTTCTCCCATTCTGAAGGTCATCTTTTCACCTTACTTATAGTTTCCTTTGTTGTGCAAAAACTTTTAAATTTAATTAGGTCCCATTTGTTTATTTTTGCTTTTATTTTCATTACTCTGGGAGGTGGGTCATAGAGGATCTGGCTGTGATTTACGTCAGAGTGTTTTGCCTATGTTTTCCTCCAGGAGTTCTATAGTTTCTGGTCTTACATTTAGATCTTTAATCCATTTTGAGTTTATTTTTGTGTATGGCATTAGAAAGTGTTCTAGTTTCATTCTTTTACAAGTGGTTGACCAGTTTTCCCAGCACCATTTGTTAAAGAGATTGTCCTTTCTGTGTTGTATATTCTTGCCTCCTTTGTCAAAGATAAGGTGTCCATAGGTGCATGGATTTAAATCTAATAATCTTAAAATGTACATAATTCCAAGTATTCCTATTACTTCTTAAAATGTTCTGATTCATGAGAAAGTCAGTAGACTTTAACCCTCTAAGTAACATTTAAATACAGAAATATAAATCTTGCACATAAATTAAGCTGTCTTTATACTAAACGCATATTCAACATTTTAAATTAAAAAACATATTACTATCTCTTCTAGCTCTAATGACTACCTGAATATTTGTGCTATTTACTTGCTCTAAAATGACTTAATAAATTTTACAGAAATCTTAGACTCTTCTAAATCTGTCATTTTAGAAAAATTCTTCTAACTGAAATTTCCATAAGTAAAACCAGCCAAAGTGGAATATTCAAAACTGAAAACCTCTGGGAAATACTATATCTGAAAATTATATCAATGCTTTAAAGCTTCAGTTTACCAAAGCAGCAATTTAAAAATATTACTAAATGACTTCAAAGACTTAATTCTTTTTTTTTTTTTTTTACCCAGTAAGAAGAAACATCAAGTAAGTATTGCCCATCAGGTCAAGAACAGAAAGCTATCACACTGTGAGACTGCAATACTGTGACTGAAAGATTTAATATTAGGCTATCCTTTAGGAGAAAAGTGACCAAAGTCCGTACAATCACGGCATAATGAATTCAGGCTGCTGTAAAGGTTTAAGCAGCAGCCAGATTCCTGAAAATGAGCAGAAAATTTTAGAAAATAGATGTTGGTATCCATGAGTATGCAACATCCTACTTTTTAAACAGCAGGTGGTGGTAGTAACTGTTCAGTCACTCAGTTGTGTCTGACTCTTGGCGACCCCATGGACTACAGCCCACCAAGCTCCTCTGTCCCTGGGATTCTCCAGGCAAAAATACTGGAGTGGGCTGCCATTTCTTTCTCCAAAAGATCTTCCCAGATCAGGGGTTGAATCCATGTCTCCTGCACTGGCAGGCAGAGAGCCACCAGGGAAGCCCCCAAACAGTAGGTTAATTAACACAAATTTGAAGCTTATTGAACTATAATCCATTTAATAATTTTAACATTGCATTTACCTTAGAAGCTTGTCTTAAAACATCCACCACGACTTTGACTGGTAAGCTTGTTGTGATTTCTTTCATTGCCTCAATGCACCATTTGTATGCCTAAAAAAATTTATAGAAGAGCAAACCCTGTGATGTATCAAATTGACAGTATTCAATGAAATGCTTAAGAATTTTTCCTGCAAGCTTTCAAGTACCTGAATAAGAAGACACACAAAATATTTACACTTAAAATTTCCTCTCAGAGGCCGAGTTTTCTTAAAAGTATGCTTGTTACATTTTTCTTTGGATATGTGACACATATTCAGGACATCAGAAGCATGTTCTCTCTGTCCCAGAGCCTCTGCACATACCGTTTCCTCTGCCTTACAACACATTCCCCTCCTTCCTCCAAGCCACCTAAGCTGTCCTTCAGTGTCAGCTCTGGACAAGGTCTCCTGTCCTTTCCTCCCTCTGCCGTAACACTTCTTTGTTATATCGTTTCACTGTAATCGCCTGTGTAGGCGAGTGCTCACTTTGTGCGAGCTACTGTTCTAAGTATCTTATGAGCAGTAGTACAGTTAACCAACACAACACCTCTTTGAGACAGTACCACGCAATGTGCTGGTACCTAGGTATCTAGTAGGGAACAAAAATAAAATGTCGTTCATCTCCTAGTGCTTAGTAGGGTGGAGGGTGGGGAAGCAAAATAAATTATTCTGGATAGTAAGAACTGCTTCAAGGAAACAAAAAGTATTACAACAGGATCACAAAAATGTGGGGAAAAGCACCTGAAAATTAGAAAGTAAATATTTGTTTTCTTCTTTAAGCTTCCACCTCTTTCATTCCACCTAAAAGATGTTAACTATTCAGAAGCAATTTTGATGCAAAAATGAAACAGGAAAAAATATGCAAAAATGACTTGGGTTAAAAAAACCTGGTTTGTAAGAAGAATGCTCAAACTACTGCACAATTGCACTCATCTCACACGCAAGTAATGCTCAAAATTCTCCAAGCCAGGCTTCAGCAATACATGAACCGTGAACTTCCAGATGTTCAAGCTGGTTTTAGAAAAGGCAGAAGAACCAGAGATCAAATTGCCAACATCCGCTGCATCATCACAAAAGCAAGAGAGTTCCAGAAAAACATCTACTTCTGCTTANAGCTTTGGTTTTTCCAGTAGTCATGTTTGGATGTGAGAGTTGGACTATAAAGAAAGCTGAATGCCAAAGAATTGATTTTTTCGAACTGTGGTGTTGGAGAAGATGCTTGCGAGTTCCTTGGACTGCAAGGAGATACAACCAGTCCATCCTGAAGGAGATCAGTCCTGGGTGTTCATTGGAAGGACTGATGCTGAAGCTGAAACTCCAATACTTTGGCCACCTTATGCGAGGAGTTGACTCACTGGAAAAGACCCTGATGCTGGGAGGGATTGGGGGCAGGAGGAAGAGGGGACGACAGAGGATGAGATGGCTGGGTGGCATCACCAACTCGATGGATATGAGTTTGAGTAAACTTTGGGAGTTGGTGATGGACAGGGAGGCCTGGCATGCTGCGATTCATGGGGTCGCAAAGTTGGACACGACTGAGCGACTGAACTGAACTGAACTGAAATAAGCTGATTTTGCCCCAGTAAGAACATAAAATCTGTGGTAAACTGTAATACTGATTTTAAAATATTTACTGCCCCTCCTTGATGAAAGATAAACTTCCCTTTCACATTAAAGATTTCCGTTAGCCAAAATATTAATTAAAATATAAGCAGAGTTCATGTGAACTGTGCCGTTTCTGGGAGAAAGCTTCAAGAACCAGTAATTCCTTCCCCATACTGTTTTTTGCCTTTGTTCCAATGCTTGCTCCAATGCTGGTAATGTTCTAGACAGAGGCTGCTCCACAACATGCGGGTTTTGATCAACATGTAGATATGTGAAGCAGAGTCACAGAGAGACCAAGCAGGAAGCAACATGAGCAAGAAATCAACTATTATTATTCCAAGTCAGTGCTGTTTGGAAGTTGATATTATCTTGGTATATCCTAGACTATATGGATTAAGAGCAGAATATGGTGATAATTCACCAAACTGTAGCCTCAAGATTTGTGTACTTTTCTGTAGGTATCAATGACAAATTTATAAACTATCAAAATTATACAAGAAACATCTCTATAAACTTAAATGTTCCTCATGAATGTGCAGCGAATTCCAAAGATCATGGATAAAATATAGTATGTTGTTGTTGGTTGTCATTTAGTCACTAAGTCATGTCTGATTCTTTTGTGGCCCCACAAATTGTAGCCCACTAGGTTCCTCTGTTTATGGTATTTTCCAGGCAAGAATACTGGGGCGGGTTGCCATTTCCTTCTCCAGTATAACACCTCCCAATTCAAATGTTCAGAAAGAAAATAACTGTCTCTTAAACAGTAACTGCTGGTAAATAAAGTGGAAACCGGTGAATAAAAGATATTTTTGTTCTACTGAATGCACTGGTGAGTCTGGACAGAAGAAGATGGGCCTGGAGATGAGTACAGGAGTAAAAAATGGCAAGACAGGATTCACTTTACAGAACAGAAAGAAGGATGCAGGGGAGTATGAGAAACAAAGATGAAAAGAAACAATGAAAGAGCAATCAGAGATGGCCAAGATGAGGACATATGTGGAGAGATAAAAAGATGATCAATGGGGCACCTAAAGAACTTCTTTTTCTAAGCAATGCCTCGTGGCTTGCAGGATCTTAGTTCCCCCACCAGGGACTGAACTTGGGTCCTCTGCAGTGGAAATGCCAAAGTTCTAACCACCAGACCGCCAGGGAATTCCCAGAAGAACTTTTAAGGCAGGCAAATACCATTGCTGTTTACTTCATTCGCATTTCCATAAAGGCTGTCCACACGAAGGCCTTTTGTGAATGGGGTTATTTGGTTTTGGTGTGTAAAATAACAGAAAGGGGCCAAATTCTGTATCTGGATTGACAAGCTTTGTAAGTTACTGCATAAAAGGGGCAGCAAAACAATCCACTGACAGAACTAATTTAGCAGACACAACAATTCAGCATCAAAAAGAACCAGAAAAATATATATAAACCTCCTGAGAAAACTCAGGCATGCTGATTAGGATTTTAGATTTTACAGATAAGCTTGATGACTAAAAAAAGTTTCCCCCAACTTTATTGAAGTGTAACTGACAAATAAAAACTATATATTTAAGGTGTACAAGATTTGATATACATATACATTGTGAAATGAGTATCACAATCAATCTAATTAAGACATGCATCACCTCAGTGTTCTCTTTCTTGGTGTTTGATGAGCACATTTAAGAGGTATTCTTAGCAAACTTCAAATACACATATAGTATTAACTACAGTCACCATGCTATAATTAGATCCTCAGAACTTACTCATCTCAGAATGAAATATGAAACTTTGAAAAACAGTTAATGTAAACAATGAGGCATGCCTCTTAGGACAGCCAAAATCTACACCACTGACAACATCAAACGCTGGCAAGGGCATGGAGTAACAGGAGCTCCATTCTGGTGGGTTGAACGTATGCTGGTAGAGACAATCCGACAGTTTCTTAAAAAACTTAACAAACTCTCAGCATACACTTCAACAAAAGCATTCTTTGATAATGCCTTCTTTGACAAATATTAAGAGCAGGATGATCCTAGGTTTGGGGTTGTAAACATCACTGTATAATTATTCTAGAATTCTCTAATTTCACTTCTAATGGTAACTTTCCTTTAAATATGGAACATATACATATACATTTACACTGCAGGGCAAAAATTGACATTAGGGCAATTTAAAAATATTAAAGCTAAATGATAGCTATCCGACAGTGCAAAATAATTATGATATTCTTCCATAAATAAAGTAACCTTGTAAAAGAGCCCACACAGCTCACTTTTCAACTATGTATTCATTAGCACCAAAATAAAGCCAAAATGGAGGCTACTACTCTCTGATAACTCAGAGATAGAAGCAAAACAATGCAATTAAAGTATAAATAAAAACTATGTTCCCAATGAAATGAATGCCTTCAAGTTACAAGAGTTCACCCAGAGCTACACAATCAATAAAAAAGCACCCACTAAAGGTTCATTTAACAGAGCATGATGTCAAAATAATTTAGTCAGAAGTACGTTTGGTCAAATTAAAAACAAATGTGAAATTGTACACGTGAATGTTTAAAATCCATCTCACAGAATACTCCTTCTGCCTATTTAAAATATTCCACTACAAATGTATATTGCTTTAAGTAAACCCAGTATGTGAAAATGAGATCTATTAAGACAAATGAGATTTTATGACTTATTTTCAGTTTAATAGATACTTACTGGTTATAATGAAATATACTTCAAAACACTCACCTCATCATAGTGACTTTTTGCAAACAGGAGTGCACACAGTTCTCCATAGAGTGCAGCTTTGTTTGCTTGCTGGCCATGTTTTGAGAGTTTATCCATGTATGTCTGAGCTAACTTAAACGTTTCTTCACCCAAATGGTACTTGCAGTTTCCATTTCGCACGTGAAGCAATCTGCAATTGCACAAATAACATGAGCCTATTTCTGACAGCTATCTTCTGTATGGTAGACTTGGTAACCTCTTACAGATGGCTACATAGCACCCATAGGAGTTAAGGTCACCAGACAGAAGAAAGGAGGCAGTACTGGAAAACAACTGTCCGGCCCAAGCTGGGACTTTCTAATACCCAGAAAGAAGTATATGTTCATCCCAGAAAGCTACCGATGGTTAATCTGATCCAACGCTGATTCCTTCTCCTCTCTAAACGTTTTGTATGCTATGTGCACTCATCATGTACTACATGTATTACTTAAGTCTCTTTGTTCCAGATCCCAAAGTAATACAGTTTTATTGTAAGAAATTTGGAAAATAATGAAGACAATAAAGATCAACATGAAATGCTATTACCTATCATTACTTTCCATTCTTTTTTCTAGTATATTCTGCAACCTTTGATTGGTTGCTGCTCATTTTATGTTGCTTTATAAAAATGCTTAATTCAATTATCTTTCCAGTAAGACAAGTTCACTGAAAACTGTGGTACTGCCAGTTCTTTCTTTTATAACCTTTATCCTCTATGGTGGAAAAATACAGAATTCTTTACACACAAGTATCTGCAAAACCATGCTGATTGTCTAGTGATATGTAAGAGTAGTAAAATGCTTTAGGTCAGACTGGGGTCAAGATAGCAACAGGCTATACATCTGTACGGACCATATATGAGACAGAACACTGTGAGGACCTGACGTATATTTAAGAATCTATTATGATGTTGGCTAAAACATTATGTCCAAATATCATGCCAATATAATTTTATGAAAATGCTCAGCTCTGAGTGGAAACACGGTGTAAACATCATTTAAAAGAAAACCAAGTGGAAAATTAAAAAAATGAATGAAAACCAAGCATTAAAAAAAAAAAAGGAAAAGGAAACCAAGTATGGATAGGTTAGGAAGCACTCTTCAGTGCTAAATGAAACCCAGACACTTGATATCTAATTTTTATATCTATTCCAAAAACACTAACAGATCAGTGACCCAAGATGACAAAGATGGTAAGTCTTCTAATCTCTAGCTTTCTGTTATATAGACAGGAAAAAAGAGAGTAATTTTATTACTGTTTTTTAACAAAGTGAAGTATAGTTGATTTACTATATTAATATAATTCCCTATGCTATACAGGAAGACCTGTTGTTTTGCACTCTATATATACCACTTTGCATCTGCCAATCCCAAACTCCCAATTCATCCCTCTCCCTCCCCCAGGCAATCACCAATCTATTCTAAAAGAGAGTTTGATGCCTGGTCAGGGAACTACATCCCATATGCTGCAAAGAAAGATCTGACATGACACAAGTAAGACCCAGCATGGCCAAAAATAAAAAGAGAAATTCTAAATCGTCAGGATTATTCAAAAAGGTGGAACATTACACAATGTACATCCTTCCAAAACTCACCATACAATTAACTGCTTTTAGAAAAGACTAAAACCCTCATATAAAACAACACAGTATACCACCCTAATGGCAGAAAACAAAGAGGAACCAAACAGCCTCTTGATGAGGGTTAAGGAGGAAAGTGAAAAAGCTGGCTTTAAAACTCAACATTCAAAAAACTAAATCACAGCATTCAGTCCCATCACTTCATGGCAAACAGACGGGGGACAAGTGGAAACAGTGATAGATTTTATTTTCTTATGCTCCAAAATCACTGTGACTACAGCCACAAAATTAAAAGATAGTTGCTCCTTGGAAGAAAACCTATGACAAACCTAGACAGTGTATCAAAAAGCAGAGACATCACTTTGCTGACAAAGGTCTATATGTATAGTCAAAGCTATGGTTTTTCCAGTAGTTGTGTATGGATGTGAGACTTGGACCATAAGGAAAGCTGAGTGCTGAAGAACTGATGCTTTTGAACTGTGATGGTGGAGAAGCCTCTTGAGAGTCCCTTAGACCGCAAAGAGATCGAACAAGTCAATCCTAAAAGATATCAACCCTGAATATTCATTGTTAGGACTGATGCTAAAGCTGAAGCTCCAATACTTTGGCCACCTGATACCAAGAGTCAAATAAGACCCTGATATGGGGAAAGATTGACAGCAAAAGGAGAAAGGGGTGGCAGAGGATGAGATGGTTAGAAAGCATCAATGACCCAATGGACATGAGTTTGAGCAAACTCTGGGAGATAGTGAGGGACAGGGAGGCCTGACCTGCTGCAGTTCATGGGGTCGCAGAGACAGTGACAACTAAGCAACTGAACAACAGCAACAAGGTTAATCAAACATTCTGAATGAAGTGTCTTTCATGATACCAGATGTCTTTTTCTTTTCTTCCCCATTTATGTATCTTAGTATTTATTTGGCTGAACAGGTCTGACTTGCAGTATGTGGTATGTTTACTTGTGGCGTGCAGGATCTTTTTTTTTCTTAGCTGTGGTGTGCAGGATCCAGCACCCTGACCAAGGACCGAACCTGGGCCTCCTGCACTGGAAGCATGGAGTCTTACCCACTGATCACCAGAGAAACCCCCAAATTTCAACCTAAAGAAAAAATATATGTAATTATCAGGCTATTCTAGAATGGTGAGTTGATTAGATTTATACTTTAAAGCAGAAATATAAAAGTAGAAAAAAAATATGTTTTGTAATACAGACTTTTCATACTAAAGTAATACAGAGTAAAGAGACAGTGTCACTTGACAAATTGCTTATTGAATAACCCAGAGTTTGCAATGATCCCTGCCACAATGAAAAAAAAAGTGAAATTTAGTAGAGAAAGAATCTATGATCATCAAGAGCTTCATTCTAACTAGGCAGGCAATATACAATGGGAAAGACAGCCTCTTCGATAAATGGTGTTGAGAAAATTGGACAGCAACACACAAAAGAATCAAACTAGACTACTTGCTCACACTACACACAAAACTAAATTCAGACCAGATTAAAGCCATCAGTGTAAGACCTGAAACCATAAAACTTCTAGAAGAAAACATAGGTAGTAAGCTCTTTAACATCAATCTTGGTAACTTTTTTTGTTAATATGTCTCCTCAGGCAAGGGAAACAAAAGCACAAGTAAATACAAGGGAACACATCAAACTAAAAAGCTTTTCTGCACAGCAAGGAAAACTACCAAAAAACCAATTCAGGTCACCTACTGAACTGGAGACTGCTTGCTTGCAAACAATGTATCTGATTGGGGGTTAATATTCAAAATATACAAAGAATCCACCCATCACCACCAAAACAAAGAAACTGATTAAAAAATGGACAGAAGTTCCTGGGTATTTACCCAAACAAAAACATTAATTAGAAAAGAGGTGTGCATGCCTATGCTCACTGCAGCATTATTTACAATAGCCAAAGTATGGGCACTACCTAAGCGCCCATCAATAGATGAATGAATAAAGAAGCTGTGGTATATATACACAATGGAGTATTAGTCATAAAAAGGAATGAAACCTTGCCATCTACAATAACATGGATGGACCTAGAGGGTATTATGTTAAGTGAAATGAGTCAGAGTGAAAGACAAATACTGAATGACTTCACTTATACTTGTAATCCAAAAAACAAATGAACATCACAAACAGAAACAGAGTTACACAGAGAATAAACAGGTGGCTGCCAGAAGGGAATGGGGTACAGAAAGAAACAGGTGAAGGAGGTTGAGAGGTACAAACTTCTCGCTGCAAAAGAGTCACAGGTATGTCATGTGCAATATGGAGAATACTGTCAATAAGTGTGTAATATTTGTAATGTGTATGGTGAGGTGACACGTTATAACTAGACTTATCTGGTGATTATTTTGAATTATACAGAAATATTGAATCACTAAGTTGTGTTAACAGAACTAACATAGTATTGTGGATCAATTATACATCAAAAACAAACCCATGGAAAAAGAGATCAGCTTTGCGATTAGCAAAGGTGGAAAGTGGGGGAAGAGGAAGTAGATGAAGGCAGATAAAAGAAACACATTTCCAGTCATAAGTATGAGGGATGTTAATTTATAACGTGATAAAAGAACATTACTGTATGTTAAACATATAACAGTTGTTAAGTGTCAATCCCAAGAATTTTCATCACAAGGAAAAATTTTTTTGTATTTCTTTAATATTGAACCTACATGAGGTAACAGATGCTCCTTAAACTTGTGATAATCACTTCACAATGTAGCTGAGTCAAACCACTGTATTGCACACCATCTTGAATGTACACAGTACTGTATGTCAGTTACATCTCAGGAAAACTGGAAGGGAAAGAACTTCATTCTAGCGGGGAACGGTGTATTAACGTAGGCAGACAGACCGCAATAAGTAAGACATTTAAAGATAAATGCTATGAAGATGATAAAAAAATAGGGTTATATGATCAAAACCTTCTTAAAGGAGGGGCTTAGGGCAGACAGAATTCTCTTCTGTCTGTAGAAGTAACATCTGAGCTGACACTTAAATGTAAGAGGTAATCATGTGCAGATACTGGGAAACATGTTCCAAACAAGTGCAAAGGCCCTGAGAAAAGAAAAATAATTCTTTTTTTTTTTTTGGGGGGGGGGCGAGAATAATTCTGTCATAATCAAAGAATAGTAAGAAAGCCAACACACCTGGAATATCATGAATAATGGATTATGTGAAGAGAGAAAGCAGAGAAAAGTGAAAGTGAAAGTTGCTCAGTCCTGTCTGATTCTTTGAGACCCCAGGGACTACATAGTCCATGGAATTCTCCAGGCCAGAATACTGGAGTGGGTAAGACTTTTCCTTCTCCAGGGGATCTTCCCTACCCAGGGATTGAACCCAGGTCTCCCGCATTGCAGGTGGATTCTTCACCAGCTAAGCCACAAGAGATGCCTAAGAATACTGGAGTGGGTAGCCTATCCCTTCTCCAGCAGGTCTTCCTGATCCAGGAATCAAACCAGGGCCTCCTGCATTGCAGGTGATTCTTTACCAACTGAGCTATCAGGGAAGTCCAAAGTAGAGAAATGAAAGATTTTTACAGGGTCTAATTTGACACAGT